GTCGAGACTACAAGGTGAGTACATTCAAGGTACAAAAGATATATTTACGATTATTACATTTGGGAAGTGCTTCACCAGCAACTATACACAGGGATAAGATATGAAGTTTCTTTTGAATTAGAAGCAATTTAAACATGGACAATGAGTATGGATACACGAAGGCAAAGACCAGGGCCGTTGACTTTTCGTCGATCGATCCCCCTCTGTCGTCTCGTTTCTTCAACAAAATTGACCGAAACGGCAGTCAGGTGTTTTGCTGCGGAGAGACTCGACGAGTGCTCTCGTTGAAAGTTAGATACGGGAAATCATGGTATATTAAACCAAGCGAAGAACCGCTTTCGAGAATAATCTCTGTCGAAGGTTCAACAGAAGGTTGTATGAACATTTCGCACTCGTGAACAGGATCGATCGTTCAAAAATAGACATTCTCTGTGACAGTGGCCTACGCTTATTTCGAAATCTCAATTAGGATGATACACGACGTTCTAACTAATTAGGTACACAGTGGGATGTCCTATAACGCGATCGGGAAATTGCTATTGGTTACGTATAACGCGATTTGGGAAATAAAGTTAGAATACTTCTTAAGTGAACACAATACATGATGTATAAATACATACAAACATAGAAATTCTGAAGCTGAAAAAAAAAATTCAACTGACTAAGAAATTGTATTAGCACTAAAAGGAAAAAAACAAAAAGATATATCGTTTACTTGATTTTAAGTGATTCCGACAGTTTGTCTTTTCGCTTTAAGTCCATTCTATACAAACATATAATGAAATGAAAGTTTCACATTTCCATCGTTTAAAAAGAAAATAAAATACGTATTATTTTCTGATACATGAGAGAAATCTTTTAATTTAATTATAATACCATCTAAAATTAATATTTCCAGCAACGTTATAATAATATTCGATATTCTATATACCGTAATTTTCTTACAAATTCTCATTCGAAGATTTCGTGAAAATAGTATTGTCTGTTGTCAAATCTACCTAATTGTTCCGTTCTCTGAATCTCGTCGAGTTCCTCTGTTTTGTTTCCACTGCTTTTTCTAAACGACGTTAGACTACAATTAGGTACATAGTTACAAAGTACATGAAAGTACCTCTACCGAATGATTTAATCGTGTAAATGACGTAATATTTGCTACGTCGCACCTGTAAACCGTATGAATGTCGCTATACGAATCCAATTTTACTTTCTGATCTCTGACCTGGTCGTCCATACGTACACAATGATTCAGGCATACTCATCGCCATTTTACATTCAAATGAAGAACAATAACAATATGCAAACAACAGTACTTAAAAGATTACGATATTTAAATCTAAAAAGACTATTTATTTCGAGCTTGAAGCTCACGCGAGAATTGTAAAAGATAATAAAAAGGACGTGACGCAAAGATTAAAACAATTAGGCTACAGAGTATTGCATTTTAGAGCGAAATTTCCCACATAAGTCTGAGAAATTATCTTTTAGCTGTTGATATTGTAACAACGCGACGATTATGCGAGATAATGAATATTGTAAAATTAATCTATATTTATATAATTTTGTTTAACTTAAGATCAACCAATAATATTCGATAATCAGTGTAAGTATATCAAATGTCATTCACGCATTAAACGATTATAAGTTCACGAAATCATATCGTCTTGAAGATAATATGTCGAACAGATATTTTCGAACCATATGACAAATAATTACCGATATCTATCCTTAATTATGAATCACGTGATGGATCTGAACATGTGAATCTCTTATGCAACCGGGCACAAAGTCATTATCTCAGTCGTGATTCAGAATCGAACGATTTCAAGTATGATGCCGTGTTCGTAAACGATCTGCCGATCTCGCGGTGCAATTCTTGATTCCAAAAAACGTATGTTTAATGACCAGAAAGAAGAGGGGGGGG